GCCTTTGTTAGTTCGACGAATCTACACTTCTATTCGTAGTCGGTTGAGCAGTTTTGGGTTTCACCGAGTTGCAATTAGGTTAGGTGAATTAAGAGTTGGTCATGAACCAAGAAAAATCTTCGTTAAATATTCAGGTAATCGGTGACTCTTATGCCACCCGATTTTACAATTTTTGTCAAGCCAACCGTCACTCAACTGGAAGATTACAGCCAATCTTAGTCAAGGGCATTTCTGGAGCAAAAATATCCGAACTCAAGAGTTTTGTCAAGTTAAATAGTACTGCGATACAGCCACACATGCCACTGTTGTTTTTCTTAGGTAATAATGATTTTTTAGCAAATGTTGGAATTACAGTTTTTAAGAACTCCTTTTTGTCTTTTCTGAGATTATTACGTCGGAATTATCCTGGGATGGTAGTTGTGTTTACGACGTTACCGCATTATCCAAGGATAAGGAATTCTTTTTCAGCAATCAACCGTCTGCATCAAATAAACAAATTTTTGCTGACCTTACGTTCAGAGTTTACTAAGGTAATAGACATCCCCGACGAATTGAATCACATGCAATATTTTCATGCCTATTATGGAAGGTCAATGCGTCGTGATGACATTCATTTAAATAACGACGCATTTGCGACATTGATTCCATCAATAGAAAACACTCTGTCACCAGTTCTCACGCAGAAATGATTTACCCCTCGCCTCAAACATTCCAAATCAACCTCTTTTACCCAGATCGGAGCACTCTGCTAAAGTGATATTAGGTTAAGTCTTCTCAATCTGTCGCTGTCCCCGTCAACGCCCGGAGGAAAGTGAGTCTCGGGGTATCCTTCCTTTTGGATGGGCTGCCTTACACGTCTTCTTCCGTGCGTTGTCGGCCAAATCTTTTACCCCTCCCTTTTCGTCTCTCGCACCCTCACTGAGTTGATTAAAGAATTTTTTTTGTTTTGGAATTTACTTTCCACGGGTGGTTTAATTTTATTTTTTACTTTGCTTAATTTTACCCCGTAGGAAAGGGCTCAGTGATGGCACCTTCTGTGGCGACCTTGCCCGTCGAGTGTTTAGAGACAAACTCTCTTTCTATTCTTTCCTTTACCTCCCTTATTTTCTTTTCTTACTTCTTAGCTTAATTAGTCACTAAGGTAGAGTTAGTTAGATTTAGGGGAGAAATAGTTACCAGTTTAGTTAAGAAACTCAGTACTTTTATTTTTTACAAAAAAACAAACGAACCGGAAATCTTGCCTCTCAAGGAAATACTTGATAAGGAAACAATCTCCAGGATCCCAAGAAAACCTATTCCCACCTTTTTCTAGCGCTTACCGACGCGCAATTTTCTGCATGCGTAATAATTTGCATGCGAAACGTTCTTTATTAAAAAAAAAAAAAAAAAAAAAGGTTTCAACAAAAAAAAAAAAAGGTTTCAACAAAAAAAAAAAGGTTTCAACAAGAACAGTTACTATCCTTCCAAACTCCTTCAACACACAGACCCCAAAACGGTACCCGCGAGTTCCATCAGTCTGGTTTTGAGTAGCTCGGCCCCAACGAACCCATGGTTCACCTTTTGAGTCCGAGCCAACCCGTCAGTGATCGGACCTCCACCTTGCGACCAACCCTTCTTCATTTCCACAACGACAGTCACCTTGAAAATAATTTTTTTTACGATCATCTGCGATCTGATTAAATATTCATTTCCCCCAGCATTATTTAATAGAAACCAGACAACTGCACAATCAAAGCAACCAAAAAATAATAAATAAATCAAATGAAAAAGCAAAACTCAATTAACAACTCTACAATTTTCCCGCATACCAATCAATCATGAAATATCGTGCACATCTGTTTTGGACCACAAGAGACATTTACCTTCTACATCCCCCATCATCAGTCAGCGATGCTCCGGCCTTGTCCGCATGAGTCATCAGCCAACACACCTTGGGCGCAGCCAGTGATGCTCCGGCCTTGTCCGCATGAGTCATCAGCCAACACACCTTGGGCGCAGCCTGCGATGCTCCGGCCTTGTCCGCATGAGTCATCAGCACACAACATCTCTACCTACACTCAGCCTGCTGCCTCAACACTTAGCCCATACCATCAGCACCTCTCAAGACCTGCATCACCAGAAGACACACCAGCTGATCTCAAATTCCCCCACAGTGCACCAGCAAAGCCTTAAGAAGAAAACCTAATAAAAAAAAAAAAAAAAAAAAAAATCTTTTGTGCGTGCAGTTGTCCGTCCCTTTTTATTTCACAACAGAAAGCAATTCAATTCCAATTTTTGCCAGGTTAGGGAAACAAACTGTCGTCCCCACAATGCCTTCCTCTTTTCGCAGGGGGGTGGATCCCGCTCTCTGCCGTGGTTGGTTCGGGAAAGTCCGGTGGTCCGAGGTACCTATTACAACCAGGCTGGTCAGAACCTTCCACATCTGGAAGCAAATCGAACGACAATCTTCCCCACAAAAAAAAAACAAAAAAAACACCAAACCAAACCCTTTCACCAACCTCCCAAAAAAAAAAAAAAAAAAAAAAAAACTGTTCTGTTCTTTTCTTTTCTTTCGTCGAAGGGGGGGTGGTTGTGACGCATAGCGGCACGCTATAATTTTTATAGTGTGTGCAGTTCGCGAAGCCGGGCTGCATGTTCATCTCGTTGCCTGCCGCGACTGCATCAATGCTCTATCCCCACTTTTCCTAGTTTTGTCCTCCTCCTTCGTCAACCTTCATCTGGACAGAAAACCTCTCCGGAAAACACCAGGCATTCTCTCGATATGATGGATAAGTTAATTGATAGTTAATAAGTAGTAATAAGTTCAAATTATGGTTGGCTAAGTCAGGTAACAAGCGGGGAGCCCTTCTGGCTCGCCCGACTGGTGAAATGTAGGAAACAAATGTTAGCCGGGTTCGCTACCCTTAAGGTAGCGGACCTTCTCAAACCTGTTAGTTAAACCACATGTTCCCAGAATGTAGCTTAGCAATTATCCATCAATTTCATACATATTAGCCACTCAATATTCAATCTACATATTATTTTCCCTCACTCATCAATATTAGTAAGTAATTTCCCAAGTTCAGTTCATAGTTTGAAGGATAGGTTAATATTTAAATAGTTAGTTCAATTGGTTCAATCAAAGCTGGCTAGGCAAGTGTTCTGATCTGGGTAAAAGGTCTCCGTCCCTCTGGTCCCCAGCAATCTTCCTAATTTTATTGGTAGCAGATTCAGCACGCTTATGTTAAGTTTGGTCCAGACACACCTTCTCCTAACCTATTACATTACCCTGTTTATTCCCTCCTGATTACCCGAATTCCCTCCTCCATCCCATACCAATAACCCAGTGGTTCCCCACACCTTAACCCGCCACCCCCTCCACAAACGGCCCCCCGCTACACTACCCAGGTTGCAGTCGGTAAAGTAGTGTCGCTATCTAGCAGGAAAGAGGTGAATGGACGGCGACGTACCGGAACGTTCCTAGCTCCTGGCGCCGTGGCCTGTTTGACGTTCCGGAACGTCCGTAGCAGCAAACGTGTTAATTAATTATTAAAAATTTTGATAATGTGAATAATTATATTGAAAGATTTTGGTGTAAAAAATAGTGAAATTATAAAGTTCACACTAACTTAAATCATTTTAACATTTTTGAACAATTAACATGTGTTTAGAGTAGGGCGCACACACCTTAAAAATTGAAACTTTTTTCTCAAGGAGATAATTGATTGTATATTTTTGCCATTTTGAGAGAAATATTGTTCACACCATTTGCCTTTTCACAAATTTTTATATCATAATTTCATATTACTACCCATAGATTATTTATGATGTTTTATAATCCAGAGGTAGCTACTGCCTATCTATATTATAACTTTTGACACTTCCTGTAGATTTCACATTCTACGAGCGTTTCATGGTCATTACATGTATATTTTCAACCAATCCTATTAACTTAACCTACCCTCGACATAAACATTGTTTGAATAGCGTTAAATTTCCTAATTCTAAGCTGATATACAAATATTTCAATTTAAAAACAACAATAAAAAACTAAGTTGTATATGCACTTGCCTTTGGTGCATGAATAGTAGGTGCTATAAATAGCAGGGCTAAGTATATTTCTGTTTTTTTTTTTAGTAGTAAGAGTGTTAATGTTTTTGTTTGTTCACATAGTATATAATGAGATATTTTTATAATCAATGCTAAGTGAGCAATGCTTTTTAGAAGCAAGATCACATGTTTCTTTTCATTCAAACCGTAATACTAACCAGATGTTGTAAATTATTGTTTGTCTATGTTTGATTTTATCATTTAAAAGTAAGTAAAAGCTTTGAGTCTTTTATTTGTTTTATTGTTTGAAAATGTTTTTTATGTAGGCCTAATTAGTAAGTTAAAAGTTGTTGATAGGTACATTTATTGGAATTGAATCTTATTTTACACAGTTTTTCATTTCAGATTTCAAAAAGCACCATTTAAACATACATCAACCCCGGACAAAGGACGGGTACTTTGCTAGTACTATTTAAATGTAATAGGTCAAAACAGTTGCTATAGCTCACAATAAGTCATTCCATTAGATTAACTTTGTTTAAAAGTCTGTGTATTCGACACAAATTAGTGATTTAGATCAGCGTAATCTGTTGGTGGCTTACATCAACTACGACGATTTTGATTAAAAAACTGGCGATAACTTTAACATGGGGAGGGGATGGAATGTCTAGTTTTAGCCTATTAATAGTCAAAGATTATAACAGATCATTTGTAGATAACAGATAAATAATTACACAAACATGCATCAACACTGAATGTTTCCATACCCATATAAATTGAAATTACAGTGTAGCATTGCACATGGATTGATACAATATGGTTTGGATCAACCAATGTCGCATACCTGTCAAATATAACGGAACAGCAAGGAATTTGGACTCTCGTTATGCGCTAGTCACAAAAAGGTCCATTCAAAATTGAATATTTTTTCTGAAATATTGTTACGAAATTTGGTACTAATGTAGACCTACCATTTAGGAGTATGGCGAGAACCTGGAGAATGTTTTGATCTTTTGCAAACCAAAGGACTTTCACCTGGTTCCCTCTTTCGCCTCGAGGAGAGCCTGGTGACTTTCTTTGGGCTGGGCATCAACACATCATCAGGTAATACAGCATCTTCACTCAACGAGAGCTTAGTTGGAGTGCATAATCGTTTTTTAGAGGATCTCATTTCCCGACCGGACTTCATTGGACTTCCCATTTGTTCATCAAGAGGTTCTAATTTAATTGGGCTCTGCATGTGAAACACATCCAAGTGGCTGGAAAGACTTAAGTCATCTTGTAAAAATTCCCGTTGAATTTCTCGCTTGACACTTTTTACAATTCCGTTATCTTTAGTTTCCACGATCTCAGTAATGTTTACTTGATTGGACGGAGTTTTTAAAGAGTCTTCTATGTTTTCCTTACTTGCAGAATTTTTCAGAATTGTAGCATAAGAAAAGCGCCACGGGGATTCTTCTTTTTCAACTTTAATTTTGACTTTTGTTTCAATCGCTTCTTTTTCAGAAACATGTTTACTTGGAGTATTTTTATTCAAACCTTTTTCATTCTTTTTCGGGCTACCTAGTGATTTGTTTTTAGGCAGACTCTCTGTTTTTGAATTCTTTTCAAATATTTCTTTATGATCTCTATTTTCACTGTCAGAGGTATCAGAGTAATTAAGCTCATCATCACAAAGTTCAACCCAACTTTTATTGACTGATGTGTCAGCCATTCTTCTTTCCCCTGCTGTAACAATAAAAAAAACAATTATTTTACAATGATAAATCATTAACACATTCAATGTGGCTAATAGTGAGAAGATATCAAGTCTTGATACTGACAGGAATGGCGGCAATAGCACGCCGGCGTGGCATTTTACTGTTCCAGCCGCTACAGCGCTGCAATCGTTCAAGATCAAGCCACACCTACTAACAACCCTAACATGGTATACAACCGATTCCGACAAGAGCTTAATACTTAATACTTTTCAATCAAATGGCGACCATACAAACCTAATAATAAGCAATAGATGAACGTGCATTGTAGCATAGCACAGTACTGTTCCATCAGCGTGAATGTTCAAATTTTCATGACACAGTACTGTGCGATCAGCAATGTGAACGTGATAAGAACATACACAATATTAAATTAATTTGAATGTTTTAAGGAAAATATGAACTAGGTGGCTTCACAACAATTCTTTGCGGTAAGGAAAAACAACACCGTATATAGGGCCTAGGTTATCCTGTAAGTAAGTACAACAAATTAAGGAAATATTTTATGGGTCATGGGTCAAAATAAAACAAAAATCCAGAAAAGTTTTTTTGAAAACTGCCTTGTTAGCAAGATATCTGACATTTTGTAAGCAAATTTCCCATTTAAGGGACATGGTAAGTGTTTATTTTTGCTCAGAGTTCAAGTATTCAAAGCACCACAATAAAGGCATTTATTCTGTTTGTACCAACAGCACTTTAAAAATTTGTATATTTGTACAGCACTACAACTCAAGGACTCAATGCCATTTGCAGTTTCGATTTGAAGTGAGCTGACGCTCGGGGGGAATTCTAAGTGGCGCTGATTTGGGTGTTCGCTTATGAAAAATTCCTAGAACCGGCCCTGCACCCTGGTTTGAGACTGGAGTTTTTTCTCGGGGCCACAAAATAGTTTGATATCTTTGTACCTAGAAATAGGCTTAATTTTCAATGCGCTCTTTTCCTGTTTCAGGTATTAATTCGACAAACTAGGCCTAGGCCTACATCAATGCACAAGAAATTTATCAAAATAAAAGTTCTCAACCTTTGTTAAGAATTGGCTTACCAGTACACAAAACCCGTTTTACCACATTACTGAAAATATCCTACTATCCTACTAATATTATAAATGAGAAAGTTTGGATGTATGTTTGTGACAAGTGAACGCGAAAAATACTGGTCGGATTGGGCTGAAATTTGGCGTGATGATAGCTCACATTCCCGATTAACATATAGACATATTCTTATTTCAAAAACCCTTTCGGGCTCCGCCCCAGTGGCTCTGGAGTTTCCCATGTTAACCTTATGAGAAATGGAATTAATGAATCTTAACAGCTGTTTCAATTAAACAAGTTGGTTCTGTTCTATGATGTTTAATAGCATTAAAGTTACGAGGATTACCAACAGGGTGCAGCACTATTATTTCTTTTACATTTATGACAACAGCTAATTTGCAACCAAAAGGTGAGTGAGCGTAGCGAACGAACTTCAACCTGGAGGCGAGTTAGCGTAGCGAACGAGCTAACCTGAAGGCAAGTGGGCGCAGCGAACGAGCTCCAACCTAAAGGTGAGTGAGCGTAGCGAACAAACTTCAACCAGGACGTGATTGAGCCATGCGGACTAGATGATCTTGAAAATTAAGAAGTTAAACGGGGCAAAGCCCGCGGGTTACAGCTAGTTGTATAATAAAAGTAACAAAAGCACACTAACTTATGTTGGAATTTATTTGTAATCTTGTTCCTCATTGCCTTTTTGGTACTAAGTTAGAAGCAGCTGTCATGTGTTAATATATGCCATGTGTTTGCTATGTTTATTAATTTGTTGTAAATAAACATCACTTCCACTATGGACTTTAGAAACCATACTGTGTAGTCATTTTACTCTTATAGCCCAGTCAATGAACGCACGAAAACGCCCGATGTCGCAACTTTTGGACGACAAGCTGAATTTTGCACAAGTGTTAGTACACATTCAGAGGTACTTCCTCCAAAAAGTCCCCTAAAATCCGGCCGGTGCTTTTTTTTCTACAGCCCTTTAAAGTCAAAAATGCAAGCTTTTACCGCAGCGCCTATATCTCCGTTATTCTTTATCAGATCATTTCAAACTTTATACCATTTAGAAGGTAGGGAAGTGATCTAGAAAAAGTGTTCAGTTTGTATTTTCGATTATCCTAATAGTTTTCTTATAATTGTAATGTAAAATATGATTTGTTGAAATTTGAATGTTTTATTTTTCGTTTTTACGTTGTAACATTTGAAATAGCCAGATAATCAAAAAACGTTTCCTTGAAAAGTTGTAGGGCATGTTTTTCCGCACGCATTGATATGTATAAGTACATGGATTAGTCATAAATGAAGCCGCGGGTGTAACTTTGAAACAGCTATGTTGGACGCGCGGCGCTCGGGTTGCAAATGCAAGCCTTCGCTCCAACGCCAATATCTCCGTTACTATTTATTGCACATTTTTGCAATTAATTCAATTATTTCCATTATTAATAACCTACAAAATCCGTATAATATATATTTCCGATTATTTATTTTTTTGTTTTTTCATTATTAAAATAAGATGCTAGTTCGTTAAGTTATTACTTTTTATTCTTTATATCTATCATTTTAACGGTTTGTCATATCCTAAATTTAATCCAAAAATAATAGAGGATGTTTTTCTAGAACCTGTGATATGCACATGTACATGGTTTTGTTATAAACTAATTACTAACTGGCTGTAAGCCTGTCTTAAAGCAGCGAGACGCCAAGGTCAGGTTGGTTCGGCAATCGGGGTATGAGTGGAGTATTGGGCTTTACGCGATTACGATATTGAAAACTACTATAAAAACATTAATGTTGTAGTGATTTATAAACTGTAAGTTTAAGGAGTTATTTTTTCTGTGTTAATTTAGATTTATATGATCTTTAAGACGTTCGTATTTCTTAGTTGAGATTACAAAATCGCTGAGCTAAATTTAAAAAGATTATATTATTAGATTAATAGAATGTTACTTTTAAATTTTTCCATCAGAGCTACCTTTAATTTTAATTTATAGAAAATGGAAAATTGGGACGTAATATGTGTTTTATGTAAGAATGATCTCAAGAACAAAGCCGTAGTTAATGTCCGACAAAAAGGGCTGAACACATTAGTCCAAAGTTAAAGTAGCTTACAGCGTTGTGATGGTATACATAAACAAATTGAAGAAAAGGATTCCATTAAAGTTCACGTTAAGTGAAGGAAAAATTATACTAGACCTTCTAGTATCAAATCAGCTATCACGAGAGCACCTAAAGAGGAAGATCACGCTGTACCCTCCACATCTACCAGACTTAGTGCAGCTGACGCATTTGACTTCAAAACTAATTGTTTCATCTGCGGAGAAACAGCGTTAATTTCAAACAAAGTCCCTGTAGACCGAAGAGATGTCCGGTTCATTGCTACATTAGAATTAAAAGTGTGATGACCGTAATGATGAATGGGGAGAAAAGGTCAAATCTCGTCTATTAAATATTAATGATTTAGTAGCATTAGGAAAAACATCTACTGGTAAACATAAACAAAACGAAGAATATTTTTCTAAGTTACAGTTTGATTTAATCGATGAAAGTGATGAATGCCAATTCACTATAAAAGAACTGAAAGACGAATTTGTTAAAATTAGCAACGAAACAGAGACTATGTCTGGCGAATTGATAAAATCCCGCCTTAAAAAACATTATGGCGATAGAATCATCTTTTCAAATATTTCTGGTAGGAAAAACGTGGTATGTTTGTCTGAAACTGTTAATAAAATAATTGATAGTTGGTATACGGATAGAGAAAATGACCAGCAGTCTGAAAGGCTAAGGATTATAAAGACGGCAGCAGACATAATTAAGGAAGATGTAAGATGGTTTACGATACGAAGTCTTATCCTCCAGTTCATGAAATGGCCAGTGAAAGTCTATGAGTCATGCCAGAATCATTGTCAGTCTTCTCTGAACAACTGACTAAGAAAAGGGGGTTATCAGAGAGAGAAAATATAAAAAGGAAACGTGTCATCAATCATCAACCATGCAATAATTTCAGCTATTAGACCCCGTTCTTTTTTGTCATGCATACAATTCAGACTTGGTCTCACGCTTCACAGGTTATTTGGTTCCAAGCATTTAATTGATATGCTTCATTCAATAGGGATTTGTGCATCATACAACGAAACATCAGTTTATTTAAACTCTTTGATGCTGGACCACCTGAAATAGAAAAAGAGGCATTTGTCCAACATGTCTTTGACAATGCGGATGTCAATGTCAGGACACTTGATGGCTTAAACACCTTCCATGCTATGGGAGGTATACAGTGTATTACGCCGAAGAATTGTGTACAAACACAAACAAACGTTGAAAGAATCACCACCGGAGTGTTTTCTGGGGATATAATAAGAGTCAAAGTTTATGCAAAGGCAAAGTCTCACGTGAAGGGCTCAAGTCTATATCAGTTACTGGATATTCGGACTTAAAAACGAGACTGAACATTGAAGGTGATTTTACCTCTTCCTCACTCTTTCGACTTAATGCAATTTGGTTAGCAGGAGTAAATACTCAACCAGGGTGGAATGGTTTCATGCAAATAATAAGTCAAGGGATTGATTTTGAATCAACCTACATCATGGCACTACCCTTTATTAACATGGATGCTCCATAGGTGGAGGATAATGGAACAACCCTTATACATGGGTTCGGAGCTGTGCTCCCCCGAACCAAAACTGGTTTAATTTAGGCACAACAAATTAAAATTATTCATGCAAATCTATGTATTTCATAATATTATGCCAATACATAGATTTATTTATTATTTACAGTTTAGGTTTTCATTTTTGAAGAGCGTAGGAAGTCGCTCTGCGTGTTGCGTGTGACACGTCTCTATGAGCAAATTGAATATATACGTTGTTTACTGCAAAATCTTAGACATGTGCATATTGAAATTTCCAGAAACACATCCTCTATATTAATTTTAAATTAAAGTAAGGACGTAACAACCAATAAAATATATATATATATATATATATATAATAGTTAACCAAAAGCATATTTTTTTAATTAAATTAAAAACTAAAAGGTTAGTCAGAAATGAATACTGGACAAACTATGTAGGCTTTCTAATACCGGGAATAATAAAATTAATCACGAAAATTTACAATAAGTACTGTATTAACGGAGATACAACGGAGATGGAGATGTGTTGGAGCGAAGGCTTGCATTTGCAACCCGAGCGCCGCGCGTCCAACATAGCTGTTTCAAAGTTACACCCGCGGCTTCATTTATGACTAATCCATGTACTTATACATATCAATGTGTGCAGAAAAACATGACCTACAACTTTTCAAGGAAACGTTTTTTGATTATCTGGCTATTTCAAATGTTACAACGTAAAAACGAAAAATAAAACATTCAAATTTCAACAAATCATATTTTACATTACAATTATAAGAAAACTATTAGGATAATCGAAAATACGAACTGAACACTTTTTCTAGATCACTTCTCTACCTTCTAAATGGTATAAAGTTTGAAATGATCTGATAAAGAATAACGGAGATATAGGCGCTGCGGTAAAAGCTTGCATTTTTGACTTTAAAGGGCTGTAGAAAAAAAAGCAACGGCCGGATTTTAGGGGACTTTTTGGAGGAAGTACCTCTGAATGTGTACTTACACCTGTGAAAAATTCAGCTTGTCGTCCAAAAGTTGCAACATCAAACCTTTATTGACTGGGCTATTATTATCATAAAGGAAAATCAATTATAAACAAGTGGTTATGGGCCCAGTTTCACTTTTATTGTAACATGTTCTCTGTGGCCTATTTTGAACTGTTTAATTTTTGAGGAAAGTGTTTGAGAAATATTATAGTAAATTTCATTGAATGAACACTTATTAATTACTATGATGGGAGACAAAGTTATATACTCCACATCAGGCCCTGGAATTTCTAAGTTGAAAGGGTCAGCCAACTATTACAGTTGGAAATTTGACATGAAGATGGCTCTAAAGTATGAGGGATTGTGGAATTGCATTGAGCCACGAAGGACTACTACAGAGACGACACCGCTAACTGTGGATCCAGACAAAGATGAGAGGGCACTCGCCAAGATTGCCATGCACCTGGAGGCAGCTCCAAAACTACGTATCAGGACGGCCACATCAGCGAAGGAAGCTTGGGACATTTTAGCAAAGCAGTATGAAGTCAAGAGCACAAACAGGAGAATATTCCTGCTGGACCAGCTTTTAGATTTGAAGTTGGAAGTATGCAACAGCATGAGTGGAGTATATTTCTAAATTTCTTGACCTCAATGCTCAACTTGCTGACATAGAGAAACCCGTAGACGATGAAATGAAGGCGTGTCTACTTCTAAGAGGTTTGCCTGAGTCTTACAGAGCATTTAGGATGGCAGTCGAGAGTACAGATAAAGTAGAATATAGTAAAGTACTAGAAAAATTAAATAGCATGGCTGAAAAGGATACCACTGAGTCCTCTGTAGTATTTTCAACTTTTAAAAGCAATACTGGGAAGCCTTTTCTATCAAAATCAAATACTAATCAAGCTAATTCTAATAAAAGCTCAAAGACGAGGAAGCCTTTTATTCCTACTTGTTACAAATGTAGAAAGGCAGGCCATATGATAAGGGATTGTCCTGAAAATAATCAAGCTACTGTAACATTAGTAATAGCTCAAAGATAGGGCCAATTTCCAAAATTGTAAGTCAGATGGTCAAAACAAAAATAAAAATTTAAGTTAGATAACTGCTCTGAATGTAAAGGTAGAACCTGAAAGCTGGTACTTAGACTCGTGTTGTTCTGACAATCTTTCTAAAAGTAAAGAAAGTTTTCAAACGTTTAACTCGAATGAGGGAGTTAAAGCTCTTTAATAGCGAAGTTCAAAAACAATACGATCTTTTATGTACAATGCCACCCCTTCACCGATTTCATCGGCTTTGTCAGGGAGGTTTCCAGATAGCACACACACTGCGTGTGCAGATGGATCACAGCGTAGCATATGTCGAAATCAGAATCAAGTACAAGTCTTGATCTCCTCTAGGTCACTGTCGCTAATAATACCAACATTTACTCTGCGGGTTCTGGGAAAGTTTCTGTGAACCTTAAAAACTTTGGTGAGAGAGTGATATCGAATGTGACGTATGTACCAGGTTTATCTACAAATTTGATATCTGTGAGCAAAATAGCTAGTAAAGGGCAAGTTTTAGGTTTGATGACAAAGGGTGTAATGTTTACATAAAAGATGGGTTTTCAGTAAGAGGTGAAATTTGTGAAACTGGAACAAATGTAAACGGACTGTATCGGTTGGATACAGAGAGTAATGCAACATTGATCCAAATGATGGAAATTTATGTCTACTCAAGTTGACCAGTCAGTTAGTGTGGACCTTCACAATTTTTGGCACAGAAGTTTGGGTCACTTGAATCATGTTAGCATGGGTGTTTTGAAAAAGGGGATGGCTTTGGGTGTTGATTTTCCTAGTCAAAGGCCAGAACCATGCATTCCCTGTGTGGAGGGGAAACACTCCAGAGAATCTTTTCCAACCACTCCAAGTAAGAGAGCTGAGACAAAATTAGAGTTAATCCATACTGATGTCTGTGGGCCTATAAATGTTCAGTCTCTTCAAGGTAATCGCTTCATGCTAATATTTATTGATGACTTCACTAGAATGACCTTTGGTTATTTCTTGAAATCAAAGGATGAAGTAGTTGATTGTTTTCTTAAGTTTAAGACTTTAGTTGAAAATCAGACCAACCAGACTATAAAAACTATTAGGTCAGATGAAGGCGGGGAGTACATGAATGCGAGACTAGAAGGAGTGTGTAATAGATATGGAATAAGGCACCAGGTCACTACTCGATACAGTCCTGAGCAGAATGGGGTAGCAGAGCGTGCAAATAGAACTATTATTGAAAAGGCTAGAAGCATGCTAAGTGACTCAAATTTGAGCAAGGGAAACTGGCAGTATGCTGTGGAGGCAGCTATTTATCTTAAGAACCGAAGTCCTACAAAATCTGTTTTTGGAGTCACGCCACAGGAGAAATATTACTATATTACCATAAGTCTCTTAATAAAACAACAAATACAATAGGCCTATATTGATATCTTATTTAACAAGAAAGTAATTCAAGAAAACCCAGAAAAAGTGTTCATCTTCACCCCGGTTTACGGTACTTTAGTATTTTTAAGTTTTTTTCAAACCTGATTTCCTGGGTAAAAACGGCATTTGGCAAAAAAGTGTTTAAAATGGACTAAAATAATAATAAAAAACACAGAGGATACGCGTCCGGTAACCAGACGTGGATTAGGCGTCCGGTAGTGACGTCACCGGGTTGTTGGGTCCCGGAACGCCATTGGCACAACAATACGATGTTCGGCCAACGTTGTTCGTGGTGTAGTGGATAGAGTGCTCGGCTGATATCCAAGAGGTCCCTGGTTCGAAACCCATCGGTTTCTTTAACTTTTTGTGACAGATTTTTCTTTGAATGTAATTTCTTCTTAACTGTACATCTTTTGTTAGAATTATTGGCATTTATAATTTTATGTAATGAAGAGAATTGAACCTTCATTTGATTTTTTTCATTAGCCTATCAGCAAGTTTGGTTGGTTAGGTTAGGTTATGACAGTAACTGCCGGACGCCTAATCCACGTCCTGTTACCGGACGTGTATCTTCTGCGAATAAAAAAACCCCAACCCTAAGTTAAGTTATAAAGAAAATTATCAAGTCCCAAAAATTATTGATTTCAAGCATTTTTCTTGATTTTCAAACAAGATTTTCAGGGCGAAATAAGTTAGGTAGGCCTATTTCCCCCAAAAGTGCCTAAAAAGTGCTTAAAATAGGCCTAGTCTAATTTAGGTAGGCTAGGCTAGATAAGGCAAAAAAATTCAATACTTAACATAAGTAGCCTAGTGTAACTTAAGTTCAGTTTTACCTACATCTAGGCCTAAATCATGAATTCACAGTACTTGGCTGCACTTTAGTTTAAGTTACGTTACGTCCTACACTCATTCGAATGTAAACAAACAGTGACTTAGAAATTAATAATTTTAAAGCTTGTTAAAAACAACTGCAAGGAAAGAGCAGTGAAAGGTTGATTACTTCATAAATAGGCTAGTTTATAGAATAAAACGTTAGACAATTTCCCGTTGAATGTAAGAGGCCTAGGGATTAATGATCTGTAGAAAAATTTGACAGGTTAACTTAGTTTTTCATCCACCAAGCTTACCATGGAAGCCATTATGTGAAGCTGTGGTCCTTTCCATTTACACCCAATTGACCATGGTCCAAGGTCCTAATTTTTTATGGTGAACTAACTGAATCCTACAACTTTTGACAAAAGGTGGCCAGCAACTGATTAAAAGTTACTAATTCCATGAACAAACAACTGGTGTACTTACAGCTTAAACTGCGGACACTGAAGGACAAAGTGCTACCCAACAACTGTGTGCCTATTAAAAACACAGAGGAGCCTAGACACGAATACTGTAGTTGAACTTAATTATTTGTTTCTGATAGACATTAAGCTAACTTAGATTGTTCACATTCACTTTATGTTTTCAATCTTGTAACTCTGATAGTCGATGTTTCGCTTTGTATAGTTAGTGTAGGCTACCTAACGAAAACGATCATACTCTACATTCTACAGTACTAGTACATCCTCTAACCTAGTAGTAACAGTAACCTACGTTCTAAAGTCAAGTCAAAAGTTCTACCGTTCTACGTTACGTTCTGTTTTCTCTTTCTGTTCTATTCTGCTGAGTTAGGCGGGAAAAGTTGCCTTTATGCAAGGACATTTAAACTAGAATTGCTTTCATAGCAGTAAAAGCGGTAAAAGCCAGTTGAGCGTGGAGTAACCACTCAAATACAGAGGTTTTAAAAACGTACCACTGTTTTAGCTGGTTTTGTTTCAGAGTTTCGTTTTCGTTAGGTTGGCCGGGTGATCGGGTTGGTGGGACTTGTCAAATTAGAGGCAAAATCAAGATGGCGTCATCCAACTTAGTAAACAAAAATCTGCCAACTCAACATTATAATTGCAATATAAGTTTATTTATTTATTTTACGAGCAAGAGCAACCCATTTTAACAAGATCATAAACCGATGGTCGTTATTTAATCAAATGCCATAGGGCTATTGGCCTAAACCAATATCTCCAAACCAGGAAACTTTAGCCTATTTTCACCACATAGCTTGAAAAGAGGTAAATAATCTTGTATTTATTTACTATCCAACAAAAACAATTTATAATGTTTCAAAATAACTTTAAATACAGAGGTTTTAACGTGCAATAACTTAAATAAGTTTTTTTATACAAGTCCTTGAAATAACGGATAACATAACCCCAAATAAATAGTATGGTTAGAATGAATTGGAATTATTTGACAGCATCCCACCAACCGATCACACGGCCAACCTAACAACACAAAACACCAAAAACAAGCCCACCAAAACGGTGACCATTTTATCACCCCCACAGTGTTGACAAGATATCGGTTCAATATCGTGTAGTCATATCGACCATCACTTGCTATCGATTATCGATTAAAACACACTAAAAAGGACTTATGAAAATAAACAAAAATGATGAACTATTAATATTTAATTTAATACTAACGCCGGAATGTTAGTCTGCCTTTTATCCCAATTAACTTATATTTACTTAAATAACGCGTCTTGGGTATACCTATAACCTTTTGAAATAATGATTTGACAACTAAGAATCTTTTAACCTTATTATTATTAAACACCAAGTAGGAAAACAAAACACGGCCGGGGTAGTTTGACTCGAAACTCAAGAGAAGGAACTATTTTAGTGTGTTGTAACAGTCCTCTTTTACACAAACCCACGGTTAGGGTTCACTTACTCTACGAATCATTGACACAATGAGCCTCCAAATATGTAATACTTAAAACACATGGCTCACTTACTCTACAAATCATAGTCTATACGAGCTTCGTAAATAATATTGAAGGTTCACTTGCACTACAGGCTCGTATACTATACGAGCCGATCAAAAATATCAAATAAATGAAGAGGGTTCACTTACTCTACAGATCATTGTGCCTATGAGCCAAGCGTATGAATTCTTGAATAATTCAGGAATCAGCTCGTATAGTATACGAGCCAAAATACTGAATTTAAATAAATTACAGGAGTAGGCTCGTATACTATACGAGCCTATTTCATGATAACTATTACACAAATAGAAGACGGCTCACTTACTCTACAGTTCATTGGCACAATGATCTGTAGAGTAAGTGAACCCTCTACAAATATTAGAAGGCTCACTTACTCTACGGTTCATTTAGCTACTCGTCGCGCGGTTTGCAGCGCATCGTTGCAGGCGTGTATGGTAAACCAATACCGCAGTTCTGCCGTTCTGCCGTTCTGCCTTACTTCTGCCATTTACTAGTCTTGCAGCGTGAAAGAGAGCTTGTTATGTTAATGCATTGTTGAATTTTTAACTTGTGTACTCGTTGCTAGAAATCAAGCAATTATCAAGTACCGGTATTACAGGAGCTATTTTAAGAGTTATAACAGACTTAATTTTCAATTAATTAAAAAGACTCACGTAAAAGCTTATGCAACTAATGGAATTACTTACTGTGTTATGAACATTTCTATTAGGGATGGACGAGATTGGATTTTTAGTTCGAGACGAGACGAGACGAGATTTTTTATTTCTCATAAAATTTCGAGACAAGATCGAGACGGTATTTCCCTTCTCATACACAACGGGAAATGCACGTTCGGAATTTTTACCTGATTTTGTAACATTGTTAGATGACTGTTTAAATACAAAAATAATGATAATAGGCAAGGATATTTACTATCTTTTATTAAAAAACATCAGCATAACATTTTTTTATTAATCACACCTAAATTATTAAAAATGCCTACGATTAGGAAACATAGTGATATCAGTTAGGATTGAGTTCAACTTATCCTAAAATAAAATAAATCATAAAATAAAATATTAATTTTTATAAAATAGTTACTTGTTTTGACTTTTTTATAGTAATAAAACATTCCTCACACTGCTAACACTTAACAAAACTTCTCAAATGTTATTAAAATAATTAAAGTAATATTTACATTTTTGAAGAATTAATTAAATAAGAACGCCTTCGCAAAGGAAACGCAACTACAACACGCTCCTGTATTGCGGGTATTGCATTGACTTTCTGCAGGCGTTTTTAATTTTTTTTTTTTTTTTATTCTTGTCTTGATTAAAATCTCGGCCAAAAAGAAATCTCGTCTCGTGTAACGAGATTTAAAATTTCCCGAAAATTTCCCGAAATTTCGAGACTTGACCATCCCTAATTTCTATATAATTAAAGTTGTAAATATTTTAAAATTGTTTAGAAGATTGCCTTTTTAGTGTTTTCTACAAACGTGTCTCAACTTATACACATAGACTGGTGGAGTGGTAATTTATATTTCTAATCATTTAACTTTTAATTATGAACGCTTTCAGTCACGTGAAGTTGAATTAATTAAACTGACATTAGTTTTTACCATAAATGATAAACCTTTTGAAATTGACTTAATAGCTTTGTATAGAAACTATAAATATGATTTTTATTTTTTCCGCAATGATTTGCAACGTATTTTGAGTAATTGTAAAAACACAGCTATTATGTTAGGAGATATAAATTTATGCATTTTAGAACAAAATAACAGTGTCATTGATTATTTAAGTATAAAGAACTCATTTGGGTTTGAGTCGTTTATAAATGAGCCAACTTGGGGGAGAGAAAATTGGGTAGTGTTTAGACCATATGTATTCATCAGAAGTAAGACTAATTTAATTTTTCATAGTAATTTAGAAAACTATGACTTTACTGATCATGCTGGAGTTAATGTAAATTGCGTAACAAGTTGTGATAGTGCTTTGAAAGAGGAGTTTGTCAAGGCTGTAGATCATTCAATTTTAAAAAGAAGGTTGGCTGAAGTGAGCTGGATGCCAGTGTTTGATTGTGAGGATGTTGATAAATCTCTAACAGTTTTTTACGATATTTATAATAAATGTATTGAGCAATCAAGTTTTTTAAGGCCTATTAACAGTAAAAATAGGCATCGAACTCCATGGATATCGGACACACTAATTAAAAAGATAAATGAAAAAAACAGACTTCACTCTCGATTGAAAAAGCACTATGACATACATTTGTTTAATAGATATAAAGAACTCTCTAGAGAATGTTCTAATTTGAAAAGACGGGAAAAAATTAATTATTACTAATCTAAAATTGAAGCAGTAAAGGGTGACTCAAAGTCTTATTGGAATATATGCAAATCGATTATGAGAAAGTCAAAAAATGAACTAACATCCATTAATATAGATGATAAAATACTATACTACTACAATAACTATTTTACTGGTATGCCGGATAAGCTGATTAGAGAATTGTATGGGCCGGGATTCCCCACCATGCCGGATATCGGTCTAGCGTGCAGCTCAAGGTTACGTTTATCTGAAATTACTGAGGTAGAATTAGAAAGTTTAATCTTAAGCAAACCAAATAAACAGTCTGTTGGCTTTGATGGTATTTCCATAAATACTATAAAAGAAAATGTTAAGATTTTTGTCCCAATATTACGTCACATTTTTAATTTATCTATAAAGCTGGGTTACTTTCCTTCTAGTCTAAAAATAGCACTCATTGTTCCAGTATATAAGGCAGCTGATCCATTGCAAATGAATAATTACCGACCGATTTCACTTTTAAATACCTTTGCTAAGCTGTTAGAAACTTGTGTGAAAAGCCAATTAGTTAAATATTTTTCATATAACAATTTATTTTCAAATAATCAATTTGGGTTCATGAAAGGTAAAAATACTGACCTAGCAGTTGAAATACATATAAGCGAGATAGTTAATCATGTTGATGAGCGTAAACCAACAATAGGAGTTTATCTTGACTTTACTAAGGCATTTTACTTAGTTAATCAAGACATATTATTACATAAACTAAAGTTATATGGAATTCAGGGCAATAGTTTTAAGTGGTTTGAGACTTTTTTAAAATGAAAGAAAACAGATGGTTAAAATAAAAACGTTTACTAAGATGTATGTTCTCAAAGGCTTGGCGTCCCTCAAGGGGGAGTGCTTGGCCCAATTTTATTCACAATTTATATTAATGACATGTTATCGATGGATTTAAAATCGAAGATGTATGCTTTTGCTGATGATACATCTTTAGTATGCAGTGCTAACAATTATGATTTACTGAGGATGAAAATTAATAATGATTTGGACGTAATATCAAATTGGGTGATAAGAAACAAATTAATCGTCAATACTTCTAAATCTAATGCAATGATATTTACTTACAAACCTCATTTGACAGAGTCGTTGAAAGAAGAGATCGATCTACGTTGTAATCTAGTTACTTGTTTTCGTGATTGTTGCTGTACAAAAATTAATTTTGTTGATTCGGTCAAGTATCTTGGCCTTCTATAGATTTAGATTTAAAATGGCATACACATGTTAATCAACTATGTAAAAACTTAGAAAAATTAACTATAATTTCTTTCATTTGAGACAGTTTATTACTCCTAAACTTCTTAGAACGCTATATTTATTCTGGTTTGAATCTACTCTTAAGTATGGTTTAATTCATTGGGGAGGGACGTTTTCAACAATACTTAAACCAATTGTAATAATGCAAA